AGGTCCAAGTTGGTTCCTTTAGTTTTGGAAGTGATCACACGTTGTCAACTCGTAAAAAGTCAGCAGTTGGTAATCATAGGGGACAGCACGGTAGCCCAACAAACAACCATGACCATACAGGGGGTTCCTAAAATAGGGCTACCCGAAATCATCCAAATTAGACTGTCTTAGTTTTGGTATTGAAATTGATGGTTTTGGGATACCCCCATTTTAGGGGGAACTTTTAGACAGTTTAAGGTAAACCTGAGACCTTAGACAATCGAGGTCATTGATTGCATTTTCTGTACCTTCCCTTGCTGTCCATGCTGTTATCTTTGAGGCCTGAAAAGAAACTGATTTCACTGTGAAGATCTCTGCAGGAGGCAACTGCTTCTCTTGTTGGACATATAACAAATATAACATAGTGGTAGTGAAGCAATAATAAGCCACCCATGATTTGATGGTTTGTGTATACCGTATACCCATCATTTATTGTAAATTTATTCAAACTTGGGTATGGTTTACTATTGTTTACTACTAGTGTCGGGCTAGTAGAAGCCCGCTCGTGTTTTTGGGGATGCATGATCAGATATCCTGTGTTTTCCAAGACTATTGTTGTGTTGGTTGTTTGAATAGCAAAACACACTAGCTTTCTGAAGGCAAAGATCATTCTTCAGTTATGCAGTGACATGACTTGGAAAAGAAAGTGTTATGGTTTAAGAGTGGGTTACATAGAGATCAAGAGATATAATTACATATTGTTACATACTCATAGCCTCATAGCCTCATAGCTATAAGAGGTTTAGATTGTATAGCATTTTAGATGATGACTTGACGTTACAGCAACATAAGCCATAACATTCTTGGTTGATTCAAGATCCCATTGTTGTGATAGTCTTACAGTAAACACCCCGAGACTTGTGCAGCGAAACCGATTAAAAGATGCACACAACATTGTGCAATGTCATCCATTGTCATTCATGTATGGTTTATCACCAGCCGTTCTATTGATTCTATTGGGGACGTCAGGAATGTGTATGTACACCAACAAGACATGGACGGAGATTTATCAGGGTTATGGGTCCCCAGGAAACTCACCAGGTGGGAGGCCTCAGGTATGCGTTTTTCAAGCATGCTATGATTACAGAGGACGCATGTTTGTTGAAGAAATTGGTTGTCCTATCAAATATAGTTGTAGTTGATGGTGTCCAATCATTATATTATATAGTGCTGTATATAATGTTGCAACTCCTGAAAACAGGATGGCAATCTCACAAAGGTGCGGGCAAGTTACTCAGTAACAGCAAAGTGATTGCTGATTGATATCTGTCTATGGAGATTGCACCCGTTTTCCTGGCCTGACTATGTTTCCAACATTCAAAGGTCTGGGACACTAAACCCATTTGATTTTGTTTGACCATTTGCATTACTGTATCTTATGTAATACTTGGATACTTTGATAGGTTATCCAAACATCTGCCTTCCATTACACTAGAGTATCTGGATCATGTACTGTAGATACTGTCCAAATCTTCCCAAGATATGTTTGATTCTCATGTAATATAATATATAATTGACTATGTATTCCTCTGAGACTTTGTATATATTCAACTTGTTCTCAAGAGACTTATCAAAACACGCAGACACAGGGTGATCTGTCTCCATGGCCTTCCGCAGGCAAGCCCTCCTGGTACAAAATGCTGAAAGGGGAGTTGCCCAGAAACAAGCTGATATGAGGTTGATCAGTCTAAGCGGTGAATATCTACAGGTGGGTGAGTTCCATCCGCCTTCGACACGATACATGCAGACCATGATATGTCTAGGGCCTCTAGGGTCAACCAAGTCAACCAAGTCAAGCATCCAATCTTTTTCGCTGTGTGGTTGGCTCCAGACTCCTGTAATGGCCGCCTTGGCAACGACGGTACAATGGAACTCTATCCTGCCCATAGGTCTTCCATTGGTCTTCCTCTGAGTTAATGACTCTACAGTGCACAGCCTTTGCAAGCCGCAGAGAGCGATCCGCTGCAAATCTTGCACTGTCACGACTTGGCGGAAGAGTCAGGTCAATAGCCTTGATTTGATATCATTATCAATAATCGTTTGTTTAATGATACTATAATCATTATCAATATCTGATTTGATACAATCTATAATAGCCGTTTGAAATACCTTATCATGCCGGCAGCCAAGGCACCTCTGAAAACTAGCCCCGGATGAGGATCCCAACGACCTCAATGGATGTTTGTTTCCTGAGCCATGTCCTTCAATGTACGTATATTATGTGTATATATATATATACGTACACATATTTATCTATTTATAAAGATATATATAGATAATGTATATTTACAGCGGATGGCTTGGGGGATTGTGTTCTCCCGTTTTGGGAGTTGTTTTTGGATATCCCTTTGTGTTTTTTGGTTGTGGTGTTTGTTTATGTTTTTGTTTTCAATTTCTTGATATGACTCTGGACCAAGACCCTTCCGCGGCCCTGCGCTGATCTTTATATAAACGACTACTCTCCCTGGAAGACGAACTCCCAATGGTGCGACACGGGGTGAAGCCAACCGTTTCTTTAGCAACGAAATCAGCGTCAACTGGCAATGGTTGACATTGATTGTTACCCCAAATTTGGAAGGTTTAGGATGTTGCCAAACTTGACCTGCACGGCTGCATGCCTAACAGATACCAGCCAGGAGGGGTACTCACACAGGTCTTGCCTTGTATGACTGAGGGAGATGCTTGGATGACGCTGTTGTTTGAATGCACATAACTGTATAGCACTTGAGCTTAGTGCCAAACTGGAAGTAAGAGAGATGTAATTAATTTAGGTACCCACGAACCATTCATTGCTAGTTGGCTAGCTACTCACCATTGTCATGAAGCATGCATTCACTATGGAATATAGTCATCCAAGCATATCCGTTTTTTCGGCGTGCCAGATGTTTTCACTTGCTTAGTCCTTGTCCACACAACATGTGGTGAAGGAAACCCACCAAAAATAAATCTATATCAGTAAGGTTGATTGAACACTCAGTGTAAAATGATTTTAGAAAGAACAATACTTATATTTGCTAAGATATTTGCAGATTTGGACCATTTGTTTTGGTGCTGCAACACGCTGCGGAGCCCTTGGCAGAGCTGCCAGGGTCTTGACAAACTGGAATTGCTTACTTCCCGCTGGCGGCAGGGCCGTGGCAATGCGCTTTCAGCTACCAAGGCGGATAAAGGATCTGCTGATCTGAAGCTATCTGAAGTTTATCCCGACGGCCATCCATCAGTTCATGGTCTTTAAGTGTGTTGTCCATGGTAAAATAATGGGTTTGGGGTCCCCTTGACATTTCTGGACACCCATGTTCTTGTATTGAAAGCAACAGCTCACTGAAAGGATGATTTGTTCTGATGCCTGAGTATGGCGCAGCCAGCCACCGACCCTGGACGACAACCCAAGCAGTAAGTAAGGCAGTTCAATCGGAAAGACTGGCCAAGCATTTTGTCCGTTTGAACACAAGCCGCGAATTCGGCCAGAATATTGATCTCCGTTGATAAAATCTTGAAACTCGAGAACGCACTCAACGGAGTTGTTGCTATTTTTGTTCTTTTGCACCGCACCACAGCGCCAGTCTGTTTGTGGCTCTTGAGAGATCATTTGTATAAATGTGTGGTATATTGTGTGACTCTCCTGCAGGCTTAGGCCTTTGTCAATTCTCACATGTGCATTTGCTTTGTGTTGCGTCAAGATCTTGTCGTCCCTACTTGGGATGAAGATGCCATATATACATATATATTATATAATATATTAATAGTGTATATATATATAGTTTAATATATATATACTACTATATCATATTTTGTAAGGGGGAGAAACCACTAAGCAGAGATGCATGAAGTGTCGGTGTTGGTGAACTTTCTTGTGCAAAGGATTGCAAGGTTGTCAGCCTGTTGGACGGACAGAGAATCTGACGACAAATATTTGGTTCTGCATGTAGACGTGACAATTCTTGAAAATATGTGTGTATACATATACATAATATAATTATAAGTCATAATATAACATTTGATTATATATTATATTATTATACATATACATATATATATATTACGTGGATAAATTACAACGACCTCACTGCGACCTCATTGGAATGATGGTTAGTAAGGGGAATCATCCCCAAATGGCATTATCTGAGGCTGGTGAATTATTGTTATTTACCCAGATATATGTATACACGAACATGTCAGCTGGTCAGGGTTCATACACGTATAGATGCGTGCACAAGGATTACTGTAGATCCAACTGATGGAATTGCAAAAAAAAACTCAGTGCAGCCATCACTATATGTTAATCTATGTACTGAGACAATCTCCGTGTACATCCATGTTACGATCACAACCAAACTCTTGAATCTCCATGTCCGACATGTCCCTCCATGGAGCTCAAAAAATTAGTGTATCACCAAATGTGGTTGGATAAAATGCCGGTATGCTATACATCGTTCAGAGGCGCCGCCTGTCAGTGATGGGCAAAAGCTGGGCGCTCAGCGAGATCATCCCACTTAGCAGGTGAAATTTCTCAACGTGGCTGCTACAATCCACCAATTATTAGGAAATAGAAGCCCACATAAGAGTTCTTTGATATATGTTGATATATATTTTGATATAATGACTACCTTCTGACCAAGTGGGATCGATTTGCTTAGAACCACGAGAGTGGCTTCGGTTTATCCTGAAGCCCAGGGCTTGGGTGGCCTTGGGCCCAGCCAACATTCTGCGGACCTGGTGGCCAACCGAGACCCTTTCGACGTCATCTGAAATCGTGAGCAAAAAACCTGTCTGGCACGTACGCGATGCTGAGGGTTTCTAGGGTTTCTCATGTCACAATTGTCACCATGTGATTCTCATGTCAGAATTCAGCTTTCCAAACCATCCAAGCCATCCAAGCCATCCAAAATCAGGTCTTGTCACAGGGATCAACGATGAGCCATCCGCCAGTCTCCCCATTGAGCTACTGCCCTGCCCACCAGGATCTGGTGGCTCAGGGAGATTGGCGGAAGATCAAACAGCTGGCCCAGGAGGCAATGGCAATGGGTGAATTGATGGTGGAAAACAATGGAAAACACATAAATTGATATAAATTGATATAAATTGTATGAACTTAGGCGAGATTGCTGCTAGTTTTATGAGTTGTCTATGATTTGAAATGTTATCATCATACATATGTATATATATATATGTGTATGTGTATATATATATATATGTATACACGTCCATTAATGAATCAGTGGTTTCCCCCCCATGAATGTTCAGGAAGACTACTCCTAAATCCATTAAAACAACAGCAAAAATGATCCGGAACTTGATGACATGGCCATTGGCTGCGGCTCAAAATAGCGCCCTTCGCGTGGGTCATGTAACATGATGTATATTTGTTTCTCAATTCTCATTGATGTTATCCAGTTTCTGGATGTTTCTGTGATCTTATCATATCTTATTATCTTATCCAGTTATCATCAGTTATCCATATATATAATCAGATAACTCGCTGTTCCATTGCAAGCAATTGCAAGCACGCCACCTGGCTGCCACCTTTCCAGTGCTTCCAGGCCTTCGCTCTGGCACAGTCCATCAAACGCAGAAGCAAACAATGATGCCATGCCGCGGAGCTTCGCTGAGAAACTCGCCAAATTGGTTGGATTCTTTTGCTAACAGATCATAATGATCATAGAACTTATAGAACTGTAGGAATTGTACAAGAGTTAAGTTGAGAAATTAATACGCATGATTTAGATGGAGAGGACTGAACCAAGAAAAATTGGGCAGTTGGGAAGCGAATTGGACGGACTTGATTAGCCAGGGACAAGATCAGCAACAAGTCAGGGGATGTCGGTGGATTTATACAACCGCATTTTGGGGTTACTCATTCACTTTATCCAAGCCCCGCAAATATCAACGGTTATACGTTATACACATTGATTACCATTGATTGGACTAATGACTGTCACAAACCTCATCAAAGATCGTCAACCGGTGATGCATAGGGGAATTCCCACACGTCCCTTTGAGGGTTGAACAAGTTTGAACATCACCTGTCAGTGGCTTGCACTAGGGGCTGCGCATTTGTCCACACAAACCGAGGGTTTGCCCTAACAGACCATCAATTTTGTTGGTTACCGTCAATTATAGACATGTGGATACATTTGAGACAATTATGAGAGTACACTAGTTTATATATGCAAGAGAACGTGTTTGGCGCACCCCGCCAGACCAAAAAAAAGAGCCCACTTGAGCCCATCCAGCATCATCCAGCACAGAAACGATTTTTATCCTACCCTGGGTAGAATCACATATGCTTATTCATTGGGAAATCATGAATCTGGGATATAGCCCAAAAAAACAAACAGTATTGGATAGATTTGGACAGTATTGGATAGCATCGGTATATTTCTATCATACTGAAGCGGTGCTTACTCCTCAAGTGCTATCAAATCCGACTGGAACCATGCAAAATTGCTTGGGACCCAAGCTCACCCAGCCTTTCTGGTGCAGAGTTTCCAGCAAAGACTGCAGCCGCTCGTTTCAGTAAAAAGTGAGAGTGCCTTTTGAAAGACTCTTTGTTCGAACGTTTTACAATGGTTGTTCCCCCTTAGGCCGAATAACAATGAATAACACCTTGAGTCGCTGAACAGCGGTTTATGTGGGTGAAAAATATAAGACTGCTTGATGCACCACATGCAATGCTGTGGTCCAGCACCATGCAGCAGAGCTTTCGAGCACCAAAACCAAAAGCAGTTGCAATCTTCTCAGCTATTTTGAGGGTCGATAGGTTGGTTCCAGATTTCTTGGCTCCACAAGTCCAAATTGCCATAAAGACCGCAACATGTTTTCAAAGTCAGCAGAATTTGCTTCTCTGTGTGTGTGTGTCATTTCACCCAAAGCCCTGACGCCCCGAGGTCTCTTTCCAACTTCCAACTTTGCAGGGGCTTCCCAGACAACGGCAGTGGTCAATCAAGTTCAACCAGCGATTGAAATGTCCATTGCCACTACCCTCTGGTAAACTAACAGTTTGCTATGGAAAATCACCATTTTGAATAGGTAAATCACCTATAACAGGGGTATTTTCAATAGCTATGTTAAATTACTGGAGGGTATGTGGAATACATTGAATATACCCTGTGACACAAGCCATGCGAAAGAGAAATCTGCTCAAAGCCAGGTAGGAGATCCTGATTTGGGTGAAGCTACCAACTTGAATGTGGAACCGTGGACAGGGAGTCAACACTAAACGTCCCACACATGTGGATGTCCACCATCCACAAAGGTAGCATGATTTTGACCAATTTCCTATCGTAGCCAACAAGGCAAGATAGGTATATTTGATCATCCCAAATGTGGGTACACATTTGCGGATGGAAATGTGTGTCCCTGGAAAGTATTGTTTACATATATTTATTATCTACATGTGTTTTTTTCATTGGTATCCCCATGTAGGTTTGTTTCAAAATAGGATGCCACCAGAATTTGATGGTTTGTTTATTTAAATCGTTTCTCTTCTTTGAGGACAACAACTGTGGCTATACCATGGTTCTCCCCACTTTTCAGATCCATAGCCTGTTGAATCCTCGTGGCATGTTCGGCAACTGAACACAACGGAGGTCAGTGCTGCCATCATGAAAGACAGATTTATGTGTACACATCTTGTGTGCTTATACAGTATATACATGACATATTATATACATATATTTATGATGTATATACACACATTGTGTATTATATATATGTGATATACTGTTTATATATAATATGACTTTATTTATTTATTACATGCTGTATAAATGAACATTGTATATATATATATATACATATACATATGTCATGCACTCTATTGATCTATATAATACAGCTTATATATATACTGTATAATATTTATCTATGTATACATTTATACACAAAGATGACAAATATGTATACATATACCAATAAAGATGTGTTATAGATCGATTCCCTGTGTCTACACAGATGTTCAATATGGGACAGACTTAGGATAGCAAATGTTGTTTTGTTCACCTGTTTGCTGAGGCCTCGAAATTACTGGTGGGGCAACGATGACCCAAACACTGTGCAGGAATGGATGACGGATGCCATGGGCTTGTTTTTGTGGGGTATCACTAGCACTTGATGTTGAAAACAAATAACAAACAAAAACTACCTCTTCGGATCTCTTCAGTTTTTTTTTTACCTGGCTTTGGAAAGTATGCAATGTATTTGAATAAGCATCATTGATCATCGTGTATGTGTTCCTATTTAAAGTTTGGGATGTCCATTGCCAGGTTGAATTGTTGGTATGATGAACATTGATGAACCATCTGGAAAAAAAACACCAGTTTCAGCTGGTCATTCACCATGTGTTCCGGTGAGTTTACCGCGCAACTCTTGCAACGCATGGCATGCAGGTGGAAAGCCAGTCTGAAAAACTCCCCCAATTCATAGAATTCATCACGTTTCTGTTGTGTTGTTGGTGACACCCCTAGTTTGGTGGTGAGCATCAACATCCATGGACTCCAAGTTGCTGTTGAGAAAGCACTGGATGGAAACGGCCATGAGGAGCGTGTGCCTCGTTTGGCCGTCTTCCTGCAGCAGTTGTTGGCGCAGCGGGGGACTTCCAGTGGTTCCCGATGGTTACCGATGGTTCCCGGTGTCGAGGCTGCTGAGGCTTTGACAGGGAAAGTGAAGGGCTTATCAACCAGCAACAACCGCAGATTGAAATGGGGGTCACTGAACTGGGGCGGTTGGTGAAATCATGTTTCTTTTTCTCATTGAAATTGGAAATTGGCCATCAAGATACTGCAAATTGGGGATTACAAGCATCGATAATCATCATGGGAAGACGATGTGATATAGAAGCAGCAGTGCGATAATGGGGGATCTGATTTAAGCATCAAAAGACAATGAAAAGAAACACTAGACTGGATGTGGCAATTCGGTTACAGTAATTGCAGTATATAGCCATCCATGATGTGATATCATAGGGACATATAGGGACAGCATGGAATAGAGAACCAACAGTATGGCTTTGGCCAGAAAATGAGAGATACTCCAAGAATATGCGACGTATATAAAGATACGTATTTGATCGTATTTGTATATTTTGTATGTATATACTGTATACACATGTGTATGTAAGAATTGAACCTCAATGTACACATCGGTGCCAATTGACTTGTCGGCTGACCACGGCTTGCCGGCTTGCCGAGGCCAGACATTTTGTCGGACGGTGAAGAACTACTGATGCGTTTCTTGAACATGCCCAAGGCGGGACGGGGATGAGACTTCATGGGGCTCGCGTGAAAAAGCCCGGCAGGCGGATTTGGATGATCCAACTGATGTGAAAATCGAAGAAAACTCAACGGTGCTGGGGATCTATCATAAAATGCGAATCGCTTAGCTAGCCTTATGTAGAAATTTAATTGATCATTTCACTACAAGAACCAGTGTTTGGAGTAGAATCATGTTGCATGAGCCTTTAACGTGCAGAGCGTGTATTGTTGGACTGCCGAACATATCTCTGGCAACATAAATTTTGTGGCTGCACCCAACGTGTGAAGGATGATGATGCATATAGCCATTTGTCAAGAGATGTCAAGAGTGTTTTTTTCCCTGCGTAACCCGGTTTTTTTTTCCACCAGCAATGGTCGAGTTCAGAGGGAACGTGCATGGATCACCTGCCCATTGGATCCCATTTGGATCAGCCGTTGGTCAAGCCCCAACAGATAACAACACATTGCCGGTCAAGTCCCAAAAACTCCAAGACATGGCTAAAAGCTAAAGACTCAAAACGATTACCAAACATGGTTTGGTGTCTCAAAGCGCTGAAGTCCCAAAGATGGTAATTGTATTGTACTTGTTTAAAATGTATTAAAATATCAGTTATGTCATGTTATGTCTATAAATAACATAGAAAATTATCATAGTATACCATAGTCGACCATAGTCATGGTGTCCATTCTTCCATCCCAATAGGCTGCCGCTGCAGCCTGCCGTTTTGTGTTGCACACCTCCCAGCAATGGCTGTGGGAACTCCGAGCTTGGACGGGGCGGAGGTTTTTTTGGGGGGCCAGGCTGGGTAGAGGGAGCACCCAATTTATGGTTACCCGGCCTGGTAAACATACAAAAAGCTATTGAAAATGGCCATTTATAGTGGATTTACCCATTAAAAATGGTGATTTTCCAGTTCGCTATGTTAAATTACCAGAGGGTATCCAGATGGTGAGACTGGTGACAAGCATTGCTAAAGCCAAGGAGGATAGCCTATTCAGAGACAAACATACCTGATTTTCGGAAGATGAACAAGAATATACAGTAATCATTTACCGCAAATAGATGCAAATAGGAAATGTCTCATTGGAAAACCTGGTTTAGTATTGAACTTGTTCATATGAGGGTCACAGACATCTGGTGTGTTTCATATGATCGGGGATGGATAGGTGCCATGGTTGATTGATGGCATTACGGGAAAAAATGTTGATATCATGTCTTGTCGTTTGAGCTGTTGACCCATTGTGTTGATTGGTTGATGGTTGTGAATGTTTCAATTGACACACTTCGGATTCCCTTTTGCCAGAGGAACATATTTGTTTGAGCCAGAAACAGTACTTGTTACACTCTCTGGTAATCTATCATAGCTATCAAAGACGACCCGTATGTAGAGGATTCACCTATATTTGCCTATTGAAACAGTGGTTTTCCATAGCTATGTTAGATTAACAGAGGCTAGTTGTTAGATATGACAGCGACCCGCAGGCAGAGGCTGTACGAGACAACGGCCGAACCTGAAGGCGTCCGAGTCTTGAAGGACCTGTTTGGATCGTTTGGGAAAATCTGGAACTGCATACCCTCTGGTAAACTAACATAGCTATTGAAAATGGCCATTTATAGTTGATTTACCCATAGAAAATGATGATTTTCCATAGCTATGTTAAATTACCAGAGGGTATCTTTGGGGTATACTGTATACTGAAAACGAATAAAAAGCAATGATTAAAATCCATTTAAATCCTACGTTTGGGGTTGAACATGAGCCCAACTGTCCCATAACATTCGAAGGCCTTGCAGGTAATTTAGCTCCTATTACAATGCTGTTACATGCTGCTACTGTCCAAATATAAGTTGATGCTATCTCTGTATTACAGTTAGGGCTCCTGTCATTCTATATCACTATCCCACACAGGATGCATCAGTACCTCGGTGACCATCAGAAGTAGTGTTTTTCTTTCAGCCAGTCTGGTTTTGGTATTTGTTTCAAATTCCCATCATACTTGGGATGTTCTTCCTTTATATCCACATGTTTTATCTCCGTAGTAAATCCCGTTTATAGATGAGTTACCCAAACTGTATCCCAGTATCGATTGGTTCAATCCCTCATGTCTATTGTGAAACATAATCCTATGATATTGATTATTTACAAATTACATACATACACATGTATGGATGGACGGAAAGATAGATAGATAGATAGATAGAAAGATATGAAAGGAAGATAAATTCCATCTTTTTGCCCCAAGATATCCCTGGATTTTTTGCCAGGACTCCCAGTTGGAGGCTGCGCTGGTCATGGTCCTCGAGGCTGCCTTGGCTGCTTTGGCTGCCTTGCTTTGGTCAACAAACATGAAGGAAAGTCACGTCCCAAACAAAAGAAAGAGAAGATGAAGAAAACAAAATCATGATGAAATGATTTTTCAATGTGAGTGAGATTTTTATGGCCTCAACATTTTCTTTGAAGTTGGTGATTATGTGATTGAGGATTTGGAAGCATCATAAATGTACTTCTTTTTCGTAATGAAATGATATTTTGTGTACAGTCGTTTGTGCTTTGTGTAGATGTAGTAGTCTATACTGCGGACACATCCACCTCCTGTTGCTGACCCACTTTCATCACGGTTGTTGATTCATGCAACAAGTATGCGTCCAATAAATGACGATACAAATCCATTACCAACTCAACACTTTCCAACCGCGACCTTCATTGAAGATGCTGACATTTTATTGTTTGCTTGGATGGGATGTAGAGGTATGCCTCGTGCTGCTGCTGGTGCTGTTGTTGTTGTTGTTGTTCCAACAAGAGTTCCATGCAACATCCCGGAGCCACAATTCGATCACTGCCTGCAAGGCGGAAAATGCCAGTGAATCGAAACGCTTGGCGTGCTTCAGCGTGCAGGGTGACCAGTGTTTTTTTTTTTAAGTGATGGCTGTGATGGCTGCTTCTGTCTTGAATCAATATACATATGTCCTGTATATGCATTATATAATATTATATATATTATATATATAATACCCCTGGGAATTTTCTCTCTAGAATCAGAACCCTCGGGGGATCTCTAAAAGCATTCATTTCTTTGAGACAGATTTTTTTATGCACCTTGAGGGATCTGATGTTGGGGGCTTTGATTTCAACGCCCGTTTTTTGGAGAACGTCAGTTTTGAAAATGCAGATGAAGATAAAATGATGAATTATGGAGAGAGCCACCTAAAGATAGTTTCAATTTGCTAAGAGCAAAATCAAAGTCCGGACAAATTCGGCCACTATAGAATCTCACCCCCAACCGGACAGAAAACATAGCACCAAATATGATACGCCTGGGGGACATGATTCTACAGAGGTTCAATTTCAAAAGAAATCTTTGGGGACGCATAAAATGGGCTCTAAAATCAGACCCCACGACCTACCAGTGGAGATTCCATGGGGTATTTTAATTAAATATACATATACACGTAGATGTATACATACTTCATGCAAGTACCTAATATATGCATATATGATCAGTTATGTATATGTGTGTATGTATCGATATGGACGAAAGCTAGTGGCAGCTAGCCCAGGTGCGAACTTCTGGCCAGAAGATTCCGGAGTGGAGGCAACGGATATTTTGGAGTCCTTTTCAATGACGGAATTTTGAAAGTGGATCTTTGTATCTGGTTCACATATATGCCAAGGATTTGAAGGACCTCGATGCTGGATGCACCTACATGCTTTTGGATTCATGTTCTCCTTTAGATGTGGATTTCACCATTAAAAACAATAAAAACAATGGAACACTGACCCGGAGATTGGCTACCACATATTTTCTTGAGTACCCAACGTTCAACATGTGGCACCACTGTGGATGTTGCCTGTGTCGTCTGTTTTTTTTCAAACATAGTATGTTGACGCAAGATTCCAACGTCCAAATGGGGGAGTGATCGAAACATATCGAAACATCTCGAAACGGTACGACTTACTCGGTCATTTGAATTGGTGTTTTGGAGTATGTCCATTTGTGTCCACATCAATGTTGGTGTATGTCCTATCATTGTGTATTGTGTCGATCCACATTTTTGTTGGTCGAATTCTGATTCAGACTAAGACTCCCTATTATTCTTGCGTTGATCGGCCTTTTTTGTTTTTTTCAAGGTGACACTTGAGGTAAATTTCCAGATGTGCCTCCAGCACCTGTTGCAGGAGAAACCGAAAGCTCGAGTCCCCGATGATAAAAAATGGGTGCAAATCAAAATTGGACCCCCAGAACGTCCAGTGTAGTGTGACTATGACAGTGATGATTGACCAGTGGATTTGGATGGATTTGGGGATATTTGGGGTATACCTATGTATACCTCGTTTTTTGGACAACTTCACATTGGTTCTACAGCTCAACATCCCCAAAAAAGAGCTGGGCTCACATAAGTCAGGGAATCCAAAGACGAATCTTTATAAGACCACTATAAGACCAATGAAATGGATGTTCATCACCAGCATCTTGATGCAATTGGACATATTTGGTGTGTGGTTTTATGTTTTTTTCTGGAATGATGAACCGGAATGAAGCACATTGTAATGGCTAGGAAAATAGGACGCTTCGGATCAACATGGTCAATATACAGACTTTGGGGACTTTGGGCTGGGAAAATGGCAGATCCAAAAGTGGTCCCCAAGGTTTTAGGCTGGTTACATCCGTTTAGGCTGGTGTCTGAAAATGGGGGATACCCGCCAAGTTGCCATTTACATGATAATGATGATCAACAATGTTTTTCTTGGGTCAAACCATGTCATGTATTGGAAATCAAGGCCAATTGCTTTTCGCGTTAACTGCCATGTTGGCTTTTCTAGCCTTGTTTTATTATATCTTGAAATCCTTATTCAGCCAGCCTGCTGAGGTATGAGTTCTTCATTTCGTTCCTGTCAGGTGCTATTAATTAGTCATCTTGCAGGGCTTTGCCTGGTGGATCATACCTCGCAACAGTGCATTGAGCCAGTTGAAGATCACTTGAAGACTTGGGGCATCTTGGGGCGTCAT